TTAGGATTTTGGGTATATAGCATTAATTTGGCTGTTTTAACAGAATACCAAAACATTAATGGCTTATAAACAACAAATTTATTTCTCACAGTTCTGGAGACTGGAAGGTTGAAGTCAGGTTTGGGTGCTGGTGAGGGCCCTCTTCCAGGTTGCAGAATGCCGGCTTGTATCCTCATGGATGCAGAGCAGAGCAAGCAAGCTCTCTCTCTTGGCTCTTATATGGGCACTAATCCTGTTCATGAGGGTTCCACCCTCAAAACCTGGTCTAATTGTAATTACTTCCCAAAGACCCCACCTCCTGGTACCATCACATTGGGAATAGGGTTACAACATAGCATTTTGGAGGGACAGACACATTCAGTCCATAACAGTAATAAACAAGTAAACACTAACACATAAGTATATTTCTGATTGTGTTTCGGAGTACATGTTCATGTTGTAAATGCTTACTGTGACATAGCTTATGGTGTGGGTGCTTGTCCTGTTTTCTGACCCTTAGATTTGCGAGAACTTCACTGTTTTTGTGTATCATTGAACATCTCTGGTGTTGCTCCCAAAAGTCTCTTATGTCTAAGTGTCTCAATAATGTATTGGAGCTGCGTTGTCATCTGAGAAATAGTAAGGGAAAATCTCTGAGTTATCCTTTTCCCTTTTTTAAAAATGTTCCTTTGATGGTTACTGGAAAGATGGGATTGTGTACTATGAGTTTTAGAGCTTCTCTGAATCATTTGTGTAAATCTAAAAGTTTAAACTAGAAACACTAATTCTTTTTTGCATTCTGGGTTCCCACTTTAATATGCTTTTCCCCTGCTTTTTATTTCTAAATGAATATATTCTCTTATTAAATAGAGTTGTAAGGTTTGTGTAACTCTTGATTTTAGAAATAGCATAAGATGTGGAAAGTAAGTTTTCCTTACTCTTAGATGTGGTCTTTAGAAGCTGACCTCATTGACAGCAGTAGCAGGTGCATCTTTATGTGTTCTTAGTTTGCTTGTGTAATCATCATGTACCTTTTGATTCTTACAGTTGGCTGAAACTGGAAACATTATAGCCTACTAACAAGGTCTTGAGAGAAAAACCTGCAGAAGCATAATTCAGTGAAATGGTTTTAAGTGAAAATTATTCTTATCTAGCTTCCTAGAGTAGAACAAGGAAGTTTTGTACGTTGCTTTACAAAGTATTTGACTGTGGATTCTAAGTAAACTAGAATGAAATAGAATGAACCCAGTGGAAGGTCTGCAAACCCACCTTTGCCAACCCATCTCTTAGGACCCAGAGTTCAACAATACAGATCAGATTGACCTGTATGATGATGTGTTGATGGCCACCTCACAGCCCTCAGATGACAGAAGCAGCAGCACTGAGCCACCACCTCCTGTTCGCCAGGAGCCATCTCCCAAGCCCAATAACAAGAGTCCTGCGATCCTGTACACGTACAGCGGCCTCCGCAATAGGCGAGCTGCTGTTTACGTGGGCAGCTTCTCCTGGGTGAGCATGGGGAACCAAAAAGCCTCCTGGGTAGGCTGGAGGGAGAGCGCTGGGAGGTGATGGCATTTTCAAAAACCACTGTTGCACTGTTTTGTGCTCTGATGGGGTTGGATTTCTTTTTCCTGGGATCAGGTTGGATTGATCTCTGAAAGAGAACTATCCTGAGGACGTACTGGTGCCGAAGAAAGCAATAAGTGGGTAGTTGCTTTTTCTGCCATCTTGTTAATGCCCCTGACCCTGGGGCTTTATGTCTAGCAGGGTCGTCTGTGGGATGAGATTTTAGAATGAACACCTTGAACTCTTGGTGGTCATTCAGTGGTTCTTTGATAACAGTGGGTGACAGGGATCAAAGACCTTGATAGTTCTAGTACACTCAGGGTAGGTGGTCATTGTTGTTCTGCAAAAGTTCTTGTGTGACAGACAAGTTTTGGGGCTGGTGGAGGGAGGGTCCAAATTAGGAAATGTACATACTGAGGGGAAAGTTCCTGACAGTCGTCAAACTGTAGCCTGTCAGGTCTGTAATTAAAAGCCGTTAGTAATCATTGTTTGAACTGATGACCCGCCAGCCCAAATGGCAGTCAAAGTTAAAGTAGGTTTTAATTTTCTTAATCTCAAAAGATGGGGATTGGGAAGGGGGTGGGGGGTTTTGGAATTCTGGGTGGGTGAGGATAATAAGAAAAGCCTGCACTAATTGAACTGTTGATGGGCTCTTGGGTTTCTGTGGGAGGTCATGGTTGTGACTAGAATCCTAGGTTTGGGGAAAGGGTTTGGGACATTCTAGGTGGGGAGGGGGTGTAGCTCTTGACATTTCTTCCTTTTCCATCTTGCCGGCCCCAGTGGACCACAGACCAGCAGCTGATCCAGGTTATTCGCTCTATAGGAGTCTATGATGTGGTGGAGTTGAAATTTGCAGAGAATCGAGCAAATGGCCAGTCCAAAGGGTGAGGTCTGGATTCGAGAAGCCCATTTTAGTTTGTCATCATTAGGATAACAGGTCTATGCTGTATTTTGGCCCTGGATTTTTTTTTTTTTTTTTAAGATTTTATTTATTTATTTGACAGAGAGAGACACAGCGAGAGAGGGAACACAAGCAGGGGGAGTGGGAGAGGGAGAAGCAGGCTTCCTGCGGAGCAGGGAGCCCAATGCGGGGCTCAATCCTAGGACCCTGGGATCATGACCTGAGCTGAAGGCAGACGCTTAATGACTGAGCCACCCATGCGCCCCTTGGCCCTGGATTTTAATCCCTCCGACCCCTGGCCCAGGTTATTGCCTTGGTTTTGGCAGAGCACCTTAGAATGGGGACCTAGCTGCAATGTAACAATGTCCATCCATTGAGGGGCAAAAAGAGCTGATTTCTGATTCCAGATAAATAGGAAGATTATAGGCTGACACCTTTTTGTTGATGGTAGTTTTGTGTATGTTGTATTAGTAAGGTATCTTTTGCTTTACCCGTTTTCACTAAAAGTGGAAGAGAGTTTCTTTGTTTTTCTCTTGGTTGGCTAGTATATCTCACTCATTTTTAATTTTTCTTCCCCAAGGTATGCTGAGGTGGTGGTAGCCTCTGAAAACTCTGTCCACAAATTGTTGGAACTCCTTCCAGGAAAAGTTCTTAATGGAGAAAAAGTGGACATGAGGCCAACCACCTGGTAGAACCTGTCACAGTTTGAGGCACAGGCTCGGAAACGTGAGTGCGTCCGAGTCCCAAGAGGGGGTACGTGGAGACCATCTGTATGAAGGGGGGCAAGTTTGTGGGTTTGTTTTCTGTGTTGTGGGTTCTGCCTGCTATGTGGAGGAGTTGGTGGGGGGAGGGTGGTGGTGGTTATGGGTGGTGGCATGTTCAATTAGTAGACCCAAAAATGAGGCTGTGTACAGAAAAGAGCACTGTGCTGAGAGTCAGGTAGGTTCCGGTTATAGTCTGGTTCTGCCACTGACTCAATTGTGTGACCTTGGGCAAGTCACTGTACTGCTTAGGGCCTCTTCCCCTCTCTGAAGTAGATACATGATGTTTAAAGTTCCTGCCAACTCTAAATTATGTGGTTTTGTCTAAAAAATCAGTGTATAGTGAATGGGCTTAATTATAATATGTGCTCTTTATAAATAACAAGCAGCTGCCCTAACATGCAGGTAATGTTTGTAAAGATGGCTATAATCTTGTCATAAACATGTGCTGGAAGGGTGCTCTGTAAGGAGTCAACCAAAAGGAATGCTGGAAAAGAAGAGTTTAACAATGTTTCTCCAGCACTGTCCAGGGGGGAGGGTGCCCTTTGAGTTACCTGATATTTTAGTCTGCTTGGCAAGTATTTCCCACTGATAAAGCTGCATCATACTACCTTAGCTTGATGATAGTGTCCCTTGAGTTCACTTTACTCCCTTTGTCCTGATTCTGTACTCACCAAGCCACCTTCTGATACTAATTTGGTTTCCCAACTAGGCTCTCCTACTGGGAAGAGAATGCGCTGACCAGCCGACACAAGTATTCCGGTCTGCTTGGCAGTTATATTTCTCATTGTAAATTAATAAATTGGCATTCTGGTTTATGAATCAGTCTCTTGTGAGTTTGGTTAGCGTGAATCAATTTCCTAGGGTCCAGTCACCCCTGGGTGAACTGTTAAAGTCGAGTTTCTGAACCTGCGAAACCTGAGGACCAGACCTTGGATTGTCCTGACCTCACAAGGTGCAGCCACCCTGCAAGGCCTTGCCTGAAGCAGCCAACTGCCTTTACTTTTCTTTTATGACAGTGGGGTGAGGGGTGGGGGTGGGGGGAAAGTGTCATCACCTGCGATCTGTCATCTTAGGTCCTGCTCTCAAAATAGTGCCTTGTACTGAATTGGGTGGTCCACTGGGACCTTGCATTGATTTATTGAAGGTGGAGATACGGCCACTTCTCTCTTGCATAGGAACAAGTGTTCTTTTAACTAGATTGAGAGCCTAGATGGGTATAGTGTGAACTCTCATTGCTCTGGGTTAAAAGGCACACACTTTTCTTTGACAACTTGAATTTTCAAGTTCCTCTGTTTAAGAGCCTTTGTATAATTCAACCCTTTTCTGATTTTCCTAAGTTGCATAAATGTACAGTTGCATCAGGGATAACATTCCTACTTCTGCTTAGCTATTTACTCCTCAGTGTTCCCTTTCTTTGCTGAAATGATGGTGGTGACTGAGTGGTGTTTTTCTGCTCTGTCACGTTGACAGACTTGGGTTCTGTTAATTCACTAAGTGCAGCTGGTGGACTTCCTCTGCCTAAAAATGGTTGCTACTCTTGGGATTGTAGCCATAGGTACAAAACAGAATCCTTGCAGAAGTGGGAAGAGTAGCTGGGAGGAAGACTAACTTTCAGAGGATCCCACTTGCTAATACCTCTTTCTTTGGTTTGAGAGAACTCAGGGAAGAAACAAGTTGCCATGTGGATGAGACATGAAGCACAGGCGTGCCACGATAGGCACCAGTGATCTACTACAGTGGAGAAAGCAAGACGGTTGCCGAGATGATGGGTCCCCCCATGCTTGAAACGAGTTGGGTTTACCAGCAAGTGTTAGTTTAAGGAGCACTCACCTTTCTGTCCACGTTTGACTGCTAACAGCATCTCTCTGTCTCCAAGACTCCGAAGGCCATGGGCTCATGGTCTTCTATTGGATTCCACATTAACCAGGCTTGGAGTAGACTATTAAATTGGAGAGAGTGAACAAGTTTAACTGAGTGACTTGACAGTGGACAGCCACGTCCCCAGTTGTAAACAAGCATGTGTGAGCCCTTGTTGTGCACACCACCATACCAAGGTGCTATGGGGATGTTCCTGTGGGGTACTGTGTTTGTCCACTGAAATGTAGTGGGAGTTCCCCGGATATGAGGCTTGTTTTTTACTAAGCTTTTACTAGGAGTCCCTGCTGTCACCTGTGCCATCTGCTCATTCTGTGAGCACATCTTGTCTCGGCTTACCTCCCATTTTCTCTCTCTCACTTGACCTCTAGTCTTCTGTGGTGTATGTCTCTTCCCCATCCCAGTGACCAGTTTTGGTATGTGGATGGAGGAAGTATCTATCCCCTGCCCTTCCCTCACTTACCCCAAATCCCTTGGCCAAAGTGCCTTTGCAAAGAGAAAATTTCAGATGCACAGTGGCATAGTACTGGTCTAAGGAGAGAGGCCCTGAACCTCTTAATCAGGGACGGGTGATTTCACATCCCCTTGAATCCAGCTGAACTGTAATGAACATACTTCTCAACAGCATCATTTTCTCATGGGTTAATTAGGATCCTGCATTTAGAAATAGAAAACAAATCTAAGGATAAATTGTGTGAAGCACAAAGAGTTTTAGATAAAGATCATTCTTTGACATGGAATTGGGGTGATACTGCTTTCTGGGATTATGACTTAACTAACTTGCCTCTGCCCTTTTTTTCTGAGGCTGAAGAAAAGGGAGTAGATGATTTTACCTTCTTTCTCAGCTGCCTGTCGCCTTCTTCAGTATGGTGTCGGAGGACTCTTGCTGAAAGATGATGTGCTCCCATGGGTACGTGTAAAGCCTTGGGCAGTAACGTTAGTTCTGTTTTGCTTCATAGGAATACCTCCACGGGCCCATTCCCGGGATTCTAGTGATTCTGCTGATGGACGGGCCACGCCCTCTGACAACCTTGTACCCTCATCTGCCCGTGTGGATAAGCCCCCCAGTGTGCTGCCCTACTTCAATCGCCCTCCTTCAGCCCTCCCCCTGATGGGTCTGCCCCCACCCCCAATTCCACCCCCACCTCCTCTCTCCTCAAGCTTTGGGGTCCCTCCTCCTCCTCCTGGCATCCACTACCAGCATCTCATGCCCCCTCCTCCTCGATTACCTCCTCATCTGGCTGTACCTCCCCCTGGGGCCATCCCGCCTGCCCTTCACCTCAATCCAGCCTTCTTCCCCCCACCAAATGCTACAGTGGGGCCTCCACCAGATACTTACATGAAGGCCTCAGCACCCTATAACCACCATGGCAGGTAAGGACTATTTTGTTCCTTTCAGATCTGAACCAGGTATAGTAGGGTAGACCATGTGTTAAGCATTTTGTTCTCCCTGAGGAAGTGAGTGAGTGAATTCTTGTGTTCTCCCTTGTGGAAACTCTGTTGTCGTAGTGTTGAGTCCTGGGAAATAGTTAACCATCTGTTAGATAATGTTTTTTATTTGGTGTTTCATTTGCATCTAAGTCTCTTGACCCAGACCGTGTCTTTCATATCCCTCTTTAAGGATCTTGATTAAATCAAGGGCTGTATGTGGCTGTTAGGGATGCTGTGAATGTCTAGCGCTATTGGGTCACGCCAGAATTACAAAAGAATATGTTGTAAAGCCTGTCCTTGAAGAGAATGTGAACACATAAAATGTCAGCAGGCTAAGAACCATTTAAGACATCATATAGGAGAGCATGATTAAGTAACAATGTACTGTAGGATATGGTAAAGATGATAAGAGGTGGGGGCAATCAGGAACGGTGTTATTTCTGTGCAGCCGAGATTCGGGCCCTCCGCCCTCTACAGTGAGTGAAGCAGAATTTGAAGAGATCATGAAGCGAAATAGAGCAATTTCCAGCAGTGCCATTTCCAAAGCGGTATCTGGAGCCAGTGCAGGTAACTCACGCTTACCTTTGCTGTCTTCTCCTTACCTTTAGTTCTTTCGTGTCTTATCATTTCCGTTGGCAACTTCAACTAGATAAAGTTGGAGCACACTGTTAGATTCTCTAGAGTGGCACATTTTGAGTAGTATATAACCTGATTGTATGGCTTCAGGGACGCTCCAGGGGTGTTATTTATTTAGCTTGTATCCAGACCTGCCCCGTGAAAACAAATTTAGTGACTAGATTATAAATAACTAATAATATCTTATTGTAGTATTTGTTGTAGAATGAAATTCTTGGCTTTGTGGAGGTCTCAGTAGTTGATCAGTGGATCTATTGTCTGTGTAGTGCCTAGTGTAGATCCCAGGTTTTTTAGGACTGATGCCCCAACTAGATGTGGTTTGATATGGAATCTCTTTATATTTGGGGGTCTAGACAGAACTTCTGGCCTGCCTGTAGCCTATCCTAGAAAGAGGCAAGTCTGTTGGATGTCATCGTAAGACATAACGTGCCCTTACAGCTAACTCTTGCTCTGCTGTCAGTATTAAGTGGGCAGAACCAGGAGCTGTGACTCGGAGAGCCCTGGCATGGAATCTTTGGTTCTTTATAGGGTTCTGGTCCAAGTTTCACATTATGATATGAGTCATGTTCGCTTCCTTCTTGTGAATGTCCCACATTAATGTAAATGGGGACTGTCAGATCTCCTAAGAAATAAGTTAACACTAAATATTACCATCTGTTTTCTGTAATTTCTCATCTTTGGCTGCAAAATTTGAATCCACAGTGTAGGTTAAAGACAGGAAATACATGTATTCTCTCTCTTTTTTTTTTCCTCCAGAAAACTTTCATTGACATCTGAAGGATTTTTTAATTAGAAAGTAATCTGTGCTCATTTTAACAAGTCCAGTATACAGAGGAGTATAAAGGAAATAGTCATTGTACTTCCTTACCAACTCCTTCACTTTGAGATGATCAGTAACTGAATCTCTGTCTCCCTTCCTTTTTGTTGTTCTCATTCCAGTCATTCAAACCACAAATACTTATTGAATGCCTACAAAATAAGCAAAAAGTCCCTACCCCAGTAGAGCTGACATCCCGGTGTTCCTGGACTTCCACAGAATCACAGTTCTGCACAGTTTCCATTCTGTTCTTGCTGCCCTGCACAGAGGAGGCAGCGAGTCCTCATCACTGGACCCCTGTCTGGTGTTATGCTTTCCTCGCATTATCTTCTGTCTGTAATGCGCTTGATTTAGCTTGGAAAAGCATTGTGCAAGTACCCAGCCCCTGACCACGATCCCTGAGCCAGGCATTGCTCCCCTTTGGGGAATGAAGGGGGCTAGTTCTTGACGGCAGCGTAATATAAAAAATATATATAAATACACTCCACACGTAGACGTGTTAGATATACATTATATATATGTGTACACGCATTTGATGACAGATTTAAAATAATTCAGACTTAGAAATGTGCAGTGGTAATTAATAAAAGTCCTTTATACAAGGACCACCACCAAGACCACCTTCTACAATTTAGTGTCTGTCCCTCAGATTTTTTTTTCTGTGCATATGACAACATATATATAATTTTTATTATTTTTACAAAAACGGAATAGTGTTTTTACAGATTTTTAGAAATTAATATAATCTGGACATGTGTCAGTATAAATAGTACCTAATATTTATTGAGCCCTTACTGTGTGCCTGGCACTGTGCTAAGCGCTTTATGTGGATTATTTTGTTTACCTACAGATTTATCATGTGCTTTTTAACAACTATGTAGTATTTTATAAAACCAGTGTCCCATAATTTATTATAGCACCCTGCTGAAGGAACTTTATGTCTGATTTCTTGATAAAATAATGCTGAAATGTAACATTGTTAAGCATACATACTTGTGAACAGAAGTAGGACGTTCTTAGAATTGCTGGGTCAGAAAGTATGCACATTGTTTATTGTGATGGGTATTGTCAGATCACCCTCAGACCGCCCTGCCCTGGTTTGCATGTCCACTAGCAACATCTGAGAACCTGTCTGATTGCAAACTGTTGGAATATAGGTGCCGTCCACTTTTATACCTGCCACTTAAGCCTCATCCATCTTACCATGGTTCTGTGGGAACTAGTTATTCTTGCTTTGTGTCCTCCTGAGTTCTCCTTTTGATCCAGTTAGTTTACTGCCTCTGCTCATCCTTGGCCTTTCCCATCCGTCCCCTGTCAGGGGATTACAGTGACGCGATTGAGACGCTGCTCACAGCCATTGCTGTTATCAAACAGTCCCGGGTCGCCAATGATGAGCGTTGCCGTGTCCTCATCTCCTCTCTTAAGGACTGTCTTCATGGCATTGAAGCCAAGTCCTACAGTGTGGGTGCCAGCGGGAGCTCGTCCAGGTGAGTTGTCGGTTGCTCCAGCGGCCTACCAGCCCCGAGCAGCACTCTTCCAGGGATTGGCAGGGGGAGGAAGAGAGCCCAGGGGATCTGGCAAGACCCTGGCTGGAAGAGCAGGCTCGCCCTGATGTCTTTAAGGGGAAGGAATTAACCAAGCATCTGCATTAACAAATGTTGTAATGTCTGCAGTCTGTGCTGGGTGAGGCAGTGGGCTATTTAGGAGTAAAGATAGACCGGTGTAGTTAAGAACGTGGGCTTTGAAGCCATACGTGCTTGGATTCGAATCCCAGTTCTGCTCCTAAGTACTTGTATGGCTTTGAGTATAGCAATCACTCAGCTTTCTAAGCATCATTTTTCTCATTTTTAAAAAAAGGGACAAGAGTGGTACTTCTCTGATGGACCTGTTGTAGAGATTGGGTGAGATAAGCATGTAAAGCTCCTAGCACTGTGCCTGATACATTAGTAAGACCTCAACACATTTGACTTAACGATTTTCCCCAAAAAGACTAGGCGTCAAAGAGCTAACATTCTCAGACATTGGGCCCATCATAGAAAAGTGGTTCAGACAAGTACTGGAAGACACCGAAACACAACACTCTTGGAAGGCATGTGGTAGGTCCTCTGAGTGAGGCTGAAGGATCTTTCTAATAGGAAGAGACACCGGTCCCGAGAGCGGTCGCCTAGCCGGTCCCGGGAGAGCAGCAGGAGGCACCGGGACCTGCTTCATAACGAAGAGCGGCATGATGATTACTTCCAAGAAAGGAACCGGGAGCACGAGAGACACCGGGATAGAGAACGGGACCGGCACCACTGAGAAAGGTGGGACGAAGCCCCGCTCCTGGCTGTGGGCCATCTTTTATAAAAGAAAAAGTACTGATCGTGAAGATCCTGCTCTCTCTTTCTAAAGCAAATAAAGGGAAAGGGAGGACTTTTTGACTTAGGTAACAGAAAATTGAGGAGGGCAGGTTTGGAGAAGTCTCGCCCTGAAATGGACCTGAGATTGAGCTGGTTTTGTTTGTGTCTTGTCTGCCTTAACCTGGTGTCCAAGAGACAGCATGGCATCCGGGCTGAGAGCACAGTGATGCAGGCCGCGTTACTTTGCTCTTCAGTTTTCCTCATTTGTAAACGAACATGGTAAGAGCAGCTGTCTCGCTGAATGCAGTGCGACAGTCCATCCAGAGCATTCAGCACTCATGGTACTTGTTACATACCAGGTTCTCAGTAGATGATAGCCAATTATATTTTCACCCCACTAAACTTTCAAGGTTTTTTCAGGAAACCGACCAAGACAAAAAAGACCATGGCCTACTTGTTAGTTTTTGAGGCGCAACATTGATGATTTTAAGAATTAGTATCTATTAAAGGGACTTTGAAACTCAGGATACTTTAGGAGAAAGCTGATCTGGAAAAAAAAAAATCATATTTAATAATGTAGAGACTGTGTGGAGGATACTTCAATGGAAGGATATATTTGTTCAGGGAACAAAAAACTTACAGCGATTTTTTTTTTTTTTTTTGCAAAACAAAAGCAGAAGAGTTGTGAGGGGAACTATATTAACTCAGGTTATGGAGAAGTTGAGTTAGGCTTGGCTGCATCCAGGGGCTCCAGCTGTGTCTTCAGGACTTAACCCTTCCGCATCACCAGCTCT